GCTCCAAATGTTCAACCACCAAAATAATTATGCCAATGATTATGCCGGCATAATCCGCCGTTCCTTAGTACCACCCCTTTTCAGGTTTGAGGCATATTGCTTCAATATAGTTACATAGGTACAGGATTTTACACTCGATTGTAAGTCGCATCCCCTTCTTGACCCTTCAAGTTTAGTGTAAAAAGGTGCCACTTAAATTCGGGGAAATACAGTACTGACACCCCTGATCCCACTAGCCAATGTAGCGTCCATTTGTGTGTTTCAGTTCCTCTTGTCTCACTTCTCACCTTCTCTTTCTCTCTTTCCCTTTTTCGTATCTCCCCTTGTCCATGAATTCTTCCGCGGCTAAATTTACCACCTAGTTGTAATGGTTGTAGCGTTGGTCACGCGTTGTTACCACCCTTGTGATGCTACTTATCCCTAACTCCCTAAGGCTATGTTTCATTGATTCTGCCATGATGGTGAAGAATAGCTTGAGATTTGTAGTTTTTTCTTTCCCTGATAACGAAGACCACTGGTATACCTACACGTGCCATGGCTATGGCTAGAATACTGTCGGTATAGCCCGTGTCAGTGTGATACCGGCAATACGTGCTGGTGACTATGAGCATGGATGGGACACGAAGGTTATGGCCATACGACTGCGGAGCGTATTGATAATATTCTTCAGTAGCACAGTAACAGCACGACGACTGAGTCACGTGAGTGCTTTCACAGTGTACCGTGTACCAGCTTTCCACACTCTCCTGGGCCGCTTTTTTCTTATCAATACACAATACATGGCCCACACAGAGTGCTGCTGTTGCTGCATGACAGCCTGACGCCAGTGACGGAGAGTTTCACCACACAACGAACAACCCCCTAGTAGTAACCAATGGTAACATAGTCGTTATGGTAGCAGAGGGAGACCCTTAAAACCCTTTGAGAGAAATTCCTAGTTGTAAGATAGTTAGTGACGATAGGGATAGCTGTTCCACTGGGGAAAGCTGAACTACATTGTGTGCATGCGTGAGCGTGTGTGTATGTGTGTGCGTGTGCGTAGTGTGTTGTGTGTTTTCGGTAAAAATGACCCATTTTCGCTGGTCGTTAGTGGACAGGTGGCAATACTCTGTATTGGTAAAAGGGTTCACTTTCTCTGCGGATGCTATCGTGGTACACTATAATTACGCCTGTGATGTTCCCAGTACACCAGAGCAGGCTCAAGTCACAGTGAACAACGTTTGATACGCTTCGGATATCGTAATACTTTTAAATTAAAACGTTTAGTCATGTACATGTACGCTACACGGCTACAGTGACTGTGTAAGGATCACGACCCGGTAATAAGATGGCATTGCCAGCAACTCCTTGATCTGTTGTCCTGTAAATCGAGCTGATCCGCTAGAGTGAGAAAGGGGATGAACTCGTCAAACGTGCAAACACGTCAGATTCACGACTGCAGTCATTCGGACCTGACTCCCCATGCGAGGAACTGAATTATTAGTGAATAGGTCGAAATGATTCAGATTGGTAAGCCTACAGTATACGAGTGGGTAACGTGATGTGAGTAAAAGTACATGTACACAAGAGCGTGTGTGGTTTCAAAAGAGAGTTAGGCCTCAGGCGTTCGCAAGCTTGCTCATTACTTTCGCATCTAAACTGCCAGGAAACTGCAACCCTGGCTTTTCTCCACTGCTGGTGCGTTGCCACTTAGTAGACGTCTTGACCAGCTTTCCATCTTATTACACAACACAATGCTTCCTGCAGTGTGTGACATTTTCCCAGATCATAGAGTCATAACAACTCTGGGACTGTCGGTAGATGGGTAGAACCAATCCATTTGTACGTGTGGTACTCAATCTGCAGACAGAACTGTTTCGTCCTTTGGTACTGAATAATTATAGCGTTTTTTGTAACCAAGCACTGTTCATGTAACCTAGAGTACATAACCCCCACTGAGGGGACTTGATGTAACGTATCAGACTGAGAGTGCATCATCATTCGATTGCAACTATATGTACATGTGTATCTTTCTAAAACACTGATAAGCCACAACAAGAGTCCGTAATCCCCACTCTTGGCCACACTGATAAGCCACACAGTCATAATCGTGTGTCCGCAGATTGAGTAATCGTGTGTACAAGTATGTCTCCCTTTGCACGTGCCGTATCCGATATGTTACTGATCAGGCATTTGTGCCGTGCACATCCTTGTGAAAGACCACAGTTAGTTGTGTTCGAAAGGCACGTAATACGATTAGGATAACCAATTCAGCATTCACCCATGGATGATGGCAGGAAATCATGGAGGTGGGTGGCACTGGCTGGTTTGTGCGCCCCCACAATCTCCCCAACCCGGATAGGCCAATGAATACTGCTGAGTAGTATTCATTGGCCTATCCGGGTCTTTGTGTTTTCATGTTGCTATTGTTGGTCTCAAACACGAGACTCAGAATGTTGTGCGCCCTTACCATCAACTCCATGGCGGCATTCGCATGACGAGCTAAGTGGGTGTGCTGCTG